CTGTATAATACAAAAATTTTATGTTTTTTCGAAACTTAAACGTTAAATATTATTATTGTTATTAATATTTGAAATCCGGATACCGATATTGGGTTTGAAATTCGGAGATTGATGTAACCTGTCCCAGATTTTCTATTTGCAATTTGAATAATGAGATGTATTTATTATAATTATTTGTTCCTGGGCTTAATTTTAACCATCAGCTCTTGACAACTAGTGACATTGGAGATTTAGTTTCTAATGGAGCTTCCATATCGATTAATTCGACGTCATATTTTCCAAATACATATACCATAAGAGAAAGTAACTCAATCATAGCTAACTTTCTCCCGGGGCAAATTCTATATCCGCCACCAAACATTATAAACGAATATTTTTGCCCAACCTTTTGATCCTCTTTCTCATTATGGTCATCTTTAATAAAAATTTCTGGGTTGGGCCAATAATCTTTATGTCGATGTATGCTGGCAAAATCAATTTGAACCATTGTGCCGACTGGCCATTGATATCCACCTATCTCGATAGGCTCTGCTGGATATCTTGCTGTTAGAGTTACGATAGGACATATTCGGTCAACTTCTTTAATAATTGCTTCGCAGTACTTTAGCTTTGAAAGATCACTGGAATGAACGTTTGGTTGGAATATTGAATCAATCTCGGCAAGCATTTTTTGCTTTATTTCAGGATTATGGCATAAAACAGAATAGTATACAGTGAACATGAAGAACTTAAAAATAAAATTAAATAAAAAAATCAAGATTGAAATGAGTATCGCAAAGGGAAAACCTGCAATTCTTCATCTAATAATAATTAACAGGTTTCCTTTGCGACACTTAAATATTGTCTTACAGTATATGTTCCGGCTAAGAAAAGACAAAATCTGATTTCAAGATCGGTCATAGGCGGTAATGTTTCTTCTTCAACAGTCTTTTTGTAATTGACATCACGTTCAGTATTAGCAATAATTAAAGAAGTCAACATGTCATTTTTTAGCTCTTTAGTTTGCATCTCGTCTATTTCTTGTCTCCTGTTTTTAATAATTTTATCCAACTTTTCAAATATGAAATCTCGTTTTTTTAATAATGCATTTGCTTTACCTCTGATGAATGGAACGTAATGCCGTACAAATGGACCCAGGAATAGAAAAATTGATGCACCAACAAGTAATTGTTTAATCCCTTCAACAAATTTATCTGAATCTTCGATTAATGCATCAGAGTATAATACTTTTATTGGACTTAGAGTATTATAATATGATCCCATTGAATAAGAACGTTCACCAATGGTTGAAACTACAATCATGTCATTAGTGAATCTATGAAACCATTTTGAGAAATCTGTCTCCAATGACCATTCTTTACCACCACTATTGGTTGAACCAGGAGATTTCCAATATCCTTCTAATTCTTCTAACAGCAAGTTTGTCCATTTGATTGCTTCATTATTAAAACTGGGTAATAAAATTGCTCGGGTAAAAAATTGACGATTAAATTTCCAACTTTTGAATTCATTATTAGTTGTTAATCCTTTTCCAGCCTTTCTAAATTCATTCATCCCTTGAGAATAAGGTAATCTTGGCATAAATTTTGCATGCTTTATCGAATTGTTAAAAAATTTTTCGATCTATTCTGGGCGTGAAAGTATAATTCTTCGGTAACCACCAAGTTGGATTTCATAAATATCACCATATTTTTTGTTGAGCGAAACAAGTATTTGTTTAACCTCACCCCTGAAGCAATATGCACATTCTATAATTGGAAGAGGAAAAGGTCCTGGCAATTTATTCGGGCGTGTAAAATATTTGTAGTAAAATTGGAAGACATAAAAAAGAAAAAAGAGTGAGATTAGAAGAAAATAATCGACAAAACTGAGATTTTCAAAATGTTTATGTAATGACATTTTTTATGAAATAGAATTATTTCATAAGAGAATAAATACTAGAGGTATCGAAATGCAGTATTTAATATTTTATTTTCAAAATAATAAAACCCCTTGCTGATTTAAACCTCTGTTTATAATTTAGCCGAAGATTAATTGTATACATATTTGTTGTTATGCAATGACACGTACGTACGTACTGTATAAGTAGGGTTGTTAACTTACATGTAAATTTACCGTAATTTACCAATTTTAAGTTTACTGTAACTGACGTAAATTACTTGTAAGTTATGTGAATTGATCGACAAATATTGTACGTCATATTATTATTTGATCAAATCAACTCAAACTTAATGAAACTCTTTCAAACTTCTGTTTGACGCAAATTTTAATTTGGCTCACAATATTTATATATAAATAGTATCAAAAAAAAGCTTTAATCTGTACCTGCCTTTAATATTCTCTATTATTAGCATGCCACGTCAAAGAGGTGAATTTTGGGATGAATTTACAAAAATAATCAAAGATGAACAAGAAAGATATGAATGTAAAAAATGCAATAAATCTTGGGTTAAAAATGAATCACAAATGTTACAGCATTACAATTTATGTTTTTTGAACAAGAAAGAAGAATCATCAACATCAGCATCTAATACACAAGTCAATAAAATTACTCAAGACGAACAGGAAGAATTAGCAAGTTTATTAGCACGTGGAATTTATTCTAGTGGTGTTTCTTTTAACATACTAGAAAATGATGATATTAAAGCTTTTTTTGAAAAAGCATGTCCATTTTTTAAATTACCTACATGACAATCTCTTTCAAAAATTCTTCTTTTTAAGGAGTATAATGATATTAATGCTGTTATTAGTTATCTGTTTTGTGAAACACAATATTTCTGTCTTATAACAGATGGTTTGTCTAATATTTGTAAAGATTCAATTATTAATTATATGATTGCAGTTCCCAAATCTATTTTTTATAAATCTGTACATACAAAAGAAGATCAACATACAGCAGCAAATATTGCAAAAGGAATTGAAGCAGTAATGAATGAACTTGATATTAACAAGTTTGTTGCTATAATTACAGACAATGCACCAAACATGAAAGCTGCTTGGCATATTCTCAAAAGTAAATATCCAATAAAAATATTTTTAGGATGTTGGGCTCATGGATTAAATCTTTGGATAAAAGACATTTTAAAATTGGACTGGGCAAAAAAAATCTTAGATAATTCTAAAAATATTGTTTATTATTTTCATTTACATTTAATTCCATTAGCAATACTTCGTCAGCTTCAAATTGAAAAATATGGACATGTTATTTCATTAGTATCAACAGTTGATACACGGTGGGATCAGCATTTTATTGTTTGGACCATTTATTACAAACAAAAAATGCAGTTCGTTCTATATTAGTTGAAGACAATATAGAAATTAATTATAATATTAAACTCCTTATTATGGATGACCAGTTTTGGCAAGATCTAAAAAATCTTCGTGATTTTTTAGAACCTTTTATTAGTTTAATTAATGAGCTTGAAGGAGATGCACCACTTTTATCAGTTGCATTTTTCAAATTACGACAGTTAGAAATATCTATACGCAATAATGCTTGTGTTCCAAATACAATTATTTTAGAAAGTATGCAACTTGTACAACATCGTTGGAATGATTTTTTATATAACCCAGCAACTAGAATAGTATCGTAGTTATTTGTAATACTGTAGTTATTAATCTTACTCAAAGAACATGTATAAATATCCTCGATTTCCCCACCAGAAAATCGACAGTTCGTAACCCATACTTATTAAAAAATACAATCGTGTCTTCCTTCATACACGAGATAAACTCAAACCTAATCGAAAAGTGAATTAACGACCTCGATCACGTGATTGCCGCGAAGGTTATTCACGATCATTTTACTTGACACTGTATTTGATTTAGTGAAATTTACATATTGTAGTATTGGCATAATTTTATTACTCGGCTACTTGTATCTTCATATACATTTAGCCGATTGCCTCTTTCATAACTGTAAATCACATAAAACCTTTTATTATCCTAATACTCACGTTGTCATAAAAGACTAAAGCGCGTGAGGCATATCAATGTTGCATCTAAAGTAGCCACCCTATCTAAAGTAGCCCTGGGCTAGAATTACGATTTAGTGCATGCATGAAGATCTAATTTCAGGGGCCTAATTTTAGTCAGGCGCTACTTTATATATCTAAAGTAGCTACTTTAGATAAATCGCTACTTTAGATGCAACATCAACACCTAATCGCATCGAACTGATTTAGAGGTGGTTTGAGTGTAACAGTACCTTATACGTAGATTTGCGTAATAAAGATTATTAAGATCGTCTGATGTTTATTTGCTTCACTATTGTTATATGATTAGTATATAGAAAAACTGTTAATTGCGGGAGATTTATTACTTGCAAAGAAAAATAATGCCTTTGAAAAGCATGGTCTTGTCGATGCATAGTGCAAATTACCCATCTAAATTTCATTAAAGGTGTTCCAAAGTATCTATCTTTTTTATGCAGTCAAAACATCTCCAGAGTATTCGGAAAAGGTCTCATACCAGAATAGATAATTGAGCTATTAATGAAGCCGTTGTAGAAAATTATGTTTAGAGGATAATCAAAAGACTGTGGGTTAGTTTACTTTCAGGTTTTGAGAGATAATATCACTAGGTAAATGGAAGCCATTTAAGGTCCGAAGGACTTATCACGACAGTGGGTATTTTCGGAGCAAATCTTTGTTTTATCAGATCAACCAATCAAACCCCTTAATTTGCGGACACACACACAACCAGGTCACTATGACTCACCCGTAATGTCCTTCGGACAACAATAAATACTTACTTTACTTCTATGATTCATACAGTTAATATAAAAACGTATTCATCCATTTTTGTAGATAATTACTGACAGTGTTAAAGATCTAAAAATTTTTTTTTGTATTTTGAGAACATAAATTGATAATTTTATGTTCTTATAAATATTTTAATGTTCTTAATAATAATAATAATAATTATAATAATAATAATGAAAAGAATTATATGAGAACATAAAAGATAAATTTATGTTCTTAGTTTGTTCTCAAAAGAGAACATTATTTTTAAATACAATGTTCTCAAACTTTTTTAAATGTTCTTGAAAACACTGAGAACATTAGATTTCTAATACTGATTACTGAGATATATTCGACAATGAATAAAAAATATATATAATTTTGTTACTAAGGATCGTCAGTTTTATCCAATGGTTCGAATAGAATCTTGCTATGGCTGACACTTTTTTTTCGACATGGCTAGGGTACTATAAAAGCATGGGTATTTGGAAGCAATCGAAATAATCAATACTTACCGGTTAAACCACAAGTCATTAAAATTACATGTATACCAGCAATTTCGTTGACGCGCAAGAGGTAACAAATCAATTATCAAAATAGAAACTAGTTAGTAAACCTATAGATGTGGAAATTAATCAAGATTCTAAGATATTTTTAAAAAATAGTATAATCCTTTGATATCTGGACATATAATCCAGATAATCTGATTCAAAAAGAATCTTTGCTGAAAACAAATATGAAATTGGTTCTAGTTAATTGTGAAATGTTATTTAATTCATAATATAATCAAAGACCATAATGAAATCTAGTAAAAAATTTGTATATGAAAAATAGAACTGGGTCGCCCGTAGGTCACACGGGTTGCTCAGATCAGTTTATAACCAGTTAATAACCTGGTGCTTAGATTTATATTGAGTACAAAATCTAGGAAAAGTACTAGCTGATACACTTTAAACAACAATAAAGATTTGAATATTCGAATAATAATATTATTAACTTTAAAGTAAAATTAAACAATCAATATATAAATTTTTAGCATAAAATAAACAGCAATTGACATATGATTGTATTTATAAACAAAAATTAATCATTATAAGTAATCACTGTAGCAATGCTAAAGCCAATAAACTCTCTTATGCTAGAGCTAGAGAGTTCATCCTGAATTAAAAATAAAGATTAAGTTCTTCATGCAAAGATAATGGTAACAAGAATAAATGCAACAAACTTTACGCATAAAGAAATCTAAAAAATTATTCAAGGCATCGTATGAAAAAATATACAGTCTGACCTCTCTAAGTGCACGCCCTTGGTACTACACTTTAATAACATGCATATATAGAATAATAAGAAAAAGTGCATTATTGAGGTCAAGTATATATCTGGGCCAGCACTTGAGCGTGCATTTAGAGAGGGTGTGCACTTATAGAGGTCTGACTGTATTCAAGATAACTAGAGATAGGCACGCGCGTGATGCTCGGGATTTTTTTAGAGCCCGTGCAAGATTATTAATATGATCCCCGATAAAATTATCTGGCCGGCATTACCATACCTTCTGGCTGGCATTAATATAATGTCTGGCCTGCATTAACATGTATTTAAACCGTAAATTCTTAAAATAGTGGGCATGGGCGTTATTTCGAATTTTAGCCCAAATTAAGCTTAATTCGGGCTGAAATTCGAAATAATGCCCATGCCCCTATTTCGAAAATTTACGGTAGAACAAAAAATTTGATTTTCAATAATAATTTTTTCATGATTTTTATCGGTCACAAAAAATTAAAAAACCCGCAGATTTGCGATCCTATCCCACGAAGGATTTTTGAAAAAACTGCGATTTGCCCATCTCTAAAGATAACTACAGTATAATGAAAATAAGAGGCACGACACTTAAATCTTTAATAATATAAATTTATGAGGCTAATGAAATTTATTCGATTAAATATTACCAGCAATTATACGTACTAGTACACGTCTCTATCATTGATGTTTGAGTCTCACCACAATCGCTGCTTTCTCATTTAGTTGTAAACTATTGCGTTGCCTAATACATAATAATAAATAAACAAATGATTCAATTTAAAAACCTATAAATAAAATAAATATAAATTTGAAACACCCTATTTACTATAGTATATTTTTGAATAATGAGACATATTCATTATAATTATTTGTTCCTGGGCTTAATTTTAACCATAAGCTCTTGACAACTAGTGGCATGGGAAGATTTGGTCTTTAATGGAGCTTTCATATCGATTAATTCGACGTCATATTTTCCAAATACATACACCATAAGAGAAAGTAACTCAATCATAGCTAACTTCCTCCCGGGGCAAATTCTATATCCGCCACCAAACATTATAAACGAATATTTTTGCCCAACCTTTTGATCCTCTTTCTCATTATGATCATCTTTAATATGGTCATCATTTTTTACGTTTAAATAACTTTCACTCTTATTATCAAGAAAAAATCGATCAGGATCAAAAATTTCTGGGTTGGGCCAATAATCTTTATGTCGATGTATGCTAGCAAAATCAATTTGAAACATTGTGCCAACTGGCCATTGATATCCACCTATCTCAATAGGTTCTGTTGGATATCTTCCTGTTAGAGATGCAACAGGTAATACCCGGTCAACTTCCTTAATAACTGCTTCGCAGTATTTTAGCTTTGAGAGATCACCGTGTGTTAACCGAGATGAACTGTTCGGCTGGAATATTGAATCAATCTCTGCAAGCATTTTTTGCTTTACTTCAGGATAATGGCATAAATAGTAAGTTATAAAACAGAATAGGTTTGCGGTCTATAATGCATGTATAAAAACAGTATACAGTGAACATGAAGAATTTAAAAATAAATTAAATAAAAAAAATCAAGATTGAAATGAGTACACAAAGGGAAAACCTGCAATTCTTCATTTAATAATAATTACAGGTTTCCTTTTGTGACATTCAAATAATGTCTTACAGTATCTGTTCCGGCTAAGAAAGCGTCTAAAATATTAGCTCTGATATCAATATCGGTCATAGGTGGAAAAATTTCTTCTCCAACAGTCTTTTTGTAATTGACATCACGCTCAGTATTAGCGATAATAAAAGAAGTCAGCATATCATTATTTAGCTCTTTAGCTTGCATCTCTTCTATTTCTTGTCTCCTTTTTTTAATAATTTTATCCAGCTTTTCAAATATGAAATCTCGATTTTTTAACAATGCATTTGCTTTACTTCTGATGAATGGAACGTAATGCCGTATAAATGGACCCAGGAATAGAAAAAATGTTGAACCAGCAATAAATTGATTAATCCCTTGAACAAATCTATCCGAATCTTCGATTAATGCATCAGGGTATGACGCTTTTACAGGACTTAGAGCATTATAATATGATCCCATTGAATAAGAACGTTCACCAGTGGTTGAAACTACAATCATGTCATTAGTGAATCTATGAAACCATTTTGAAAAATCTGTCTCCAATGACCATTCTTTGCCACCACTATTGGTTGAACCAAGAGATTTCCAATATCCTTCTAACTCTTCAAACAACATCTTTGTCCATTTAATTGCTTCATTATTAAAACTGGGTGATAAGATCGCTCGGGTAAAAATTTGACGATTAAATTTCCAACTTTTGAAATCATTATTAGTTGCCAATCCTTTTCCAGCCTTTCTAAATTCATCCATACCTTGAGAATAAGGTAATCTTGGCATAAATTTTGCATGCTTTGTTGAATTGTTAAAAAATTTTTCGACATGTTCTGGATGTGAAAGTACAATTCTTCGAAAACCACCAAGTTGAAATTCATAAATATCACCATATTTTTTATTCAATGAGACGAATATTTGTTTAATATCACTCCTAAAGCAATATGCACATTCTATAATTGGAAGAGGAAAAGGTCCTGGTAATTTATTCGGGCGAGTAAAATATTTGTAGTAAAATCGGAAGACATAAAAAAGAAAGAAGAATGCAATTAGAAGAAAGTAATCAACAAATTTGAGATTTTCAAAGTATTTACGCAAAGACATTTCTTTTTAATTTTTTTTTTCATAAGATAGGATTAAAAGCTCAAGATACAAGAGATATCGAAAATACAGTATTTAATCGTTTAATAAAGTCTCTTACTGAATTAAGAATATTTAATATACATATTTGTTAAATCAGATGGGCAACGCGCATGATCCGCGGATTTTTTTTGACCCCTATATTATATAATTCGTCACATTCATAAAATTTCGAAACATGGGAAAAACCTATTCCATGAATCACGGCGGATCACGCGCGAGATCTCGTATTACATACGTACATATGTACGTACAGTACGTAAAGAAAATTATTTAATGAAAAACAATAAAAAATATTAGAATTATTTTATGTTATTTCATATGATGTACAAATTGGTGTTCCGCAAAATGCAGAAATGGATGAAATTCCCACAAATCCATATCGAATCCATAATTTGCTCGATTTTGATTGGCTAACGGCCGAAGATCTTCAAAATTTTGGCCCGCATTACATACTGTAATTGTTTACTAATTTCCGGCCGAATTACTTTTTAATTTTTTTTTACAAAAATAAAACTTTTTTAAAAAATAAGCCCGCATCATGAAAAATTGGCCCAGGAACAATTTTCACTTAAGCGATTTCATTAGTAAAATTATGACATAATTTTTTGATCGTCGCTCTTAGCCAATTAAAATCGAGGATCTGCCACGCATTTTTTGTGCGGCACCCAGGTTCAATTATTTATTGTCGCGGATCTAATGAAATCGGATTAAAATGAAATGAGGGCTTTTATTTAACCATCTAAACCCACATATACTTGTTTATTATAAACTCTACCCTAAAACTAACCTCCAACCCCAACCCCTAACCATAAAAAATGCGCCTCAAAAATTTTTATTTTTCTATCTTTTGCATTGTACAATATTTAATTTTAATCCGATTTCGTATTAATCCGTCACAATTATTGAGCAGATCCTGTGGATCAGAATCTGAAGAGAGATTCGATCGAATAATATTCGATTCAGATCCATTATTATTACCGAAATACACAAACGTTAAAACTCTAATTTTTTGACTTTTTTTCTTGGAATTTTATTGATTTTTTTTTTCTTTTTTTTTTTTTTTTTTGAAAAGCATATTTAACATTACATCGAGCTAATAATGCCAGATATTGAACTTCATTGAATGAACGAATGTGCAGCATATGTTAATAAGATTGTGTGTGGGTTAAGAAGATTCAGGTGCGATTCTTGATTCTTGTAGCGCGTTTATTTCTTATCGTTATGCTTGTTTTCTGAAATGAGATTATGATTAGTAATTAGATCAAGTTCCTAATTAAGCAGTTAATTAAATATACTTACCGTATAAACGCGAAATAACGCTCGTGGGTGTTATTGAGCTGCTCGATACGAAAGTATCGGAGCAGCTTTTGTCCCGAATCGGTCACGGGGGTAGTGTTGGCAATTTTACCGGCCACATATATTTGGCCTACCAAAAAAGGCCAATCCGGCTTTTCAAGTTTTATAATAAGCGGCCTGTCGGAACGACAGTCACGTTTTGAGTTTTATAATAAGTGGCCTGTCGGGACGACAGTCACATTTTGGATTTTTTTTGGTAATAAAAGTGGTCTGTCGGGACGACAGTCACAGTTATTTGAGTTTGGCAGTAGAAAGTGGCCTGTCGAGACGACAGTCACGAAAGATTTCGGTTTTTGCGGGTTTTTTTCTGGTTTTTTTTTGCCCCGCCCGCCAATATTACCACCATAGTAGCATACGTAGTAAACAGTAGCATAGGATGTTTTATGCGATACTTTCGAAGTCTGTATTGTTAGCATGTACACTATAACACAAGCGGAAGGTACAGATGACTCATAATTATTTTCCAATTGTTTTCCATCTGTAACACCCCTCGATGAGGGACAAATTTAGAAAATCGGATGCTTCAAAAATAACTTACATGGTCTCGAATTAGCGCTCATGAGCGTCCTGAATTAACGCGCATCCTAATGTAGCACATAATTTATTGTTGCGATAGATATCAGCGTTTCGGGCGAAACTCAATTTTGCAGATCATTTGCAGATCAAATTGGACGAAACTAGTTTCGGACGGGAGCCCTAATTCCCCCCCAGTTGTGATTGGACGCATGAAATATCATCTTTAATTGGATAAACTAGATCACGCCACCTTAGCACAGCCGCAAAATCAAAACCATTTCTTCAATAAAAAAAAATCATTATTTTTATTGTGTGAAAGTTTTTTTGCTAATAAAAAAAATCGAAATAATCTAAATATAAATGTTAACGAAAATTTGTGCTTCTAATACAACCAAGAAAATTTTTATAAAGTTTTTGTTCAGTGCTTTATTTCTCAAAAGAATAAAATTTTGTCGAGACCTACGTTTACAAGCATGTAATTTTAAAATATATTCAACTACATTGTAAGACTTCTTAACTATATTCTAGGCCACGATTTTTACTTGTTTACAGTAAAAAATAATTGACACAAACATTCGAAAGTTTCAAGTTCATTTTTATTGATATTGATGCAATACTGTAAATAAATAAAATGCTCCTGCTAATTAATATATTTGTTTTAATTCTAATACAAATATATAACTCAAGTTCTCAAAATCTATTTCCTGAAAAGAAATAATTAGTCGATATTATGTTCTTTTGGGAAGATAGCTTTCAGAAGTCATACAGTAACTCTGATATAATACTGCTTGCTTGCTAATTAATAATACTGAAAATAAATAATACTGATAAATTGTTAAATAATTAATAAATTTTTTAAGGATGTGGTGACTTAGTAAAGTGGTAGAGTTGTCACACCCTCCAAGCTAGCTTGACTATGTTACTGAGTTTGAATCCCACTAGCTATATTTCAGACAAATTTATCTATGTTATAGTGTTGGATCTCTCAAATTGGATTGGGTTTATAACCTGTTACTGCGGTTACACCAATGCCTCTGGGTGCTGGAAGTTTCTAGAAGTATTTGTGTTATTTTACAAAGGAATGCAAACTTGTACAAATGGTGCAAACTCATGATAAGCATTCTAAGAAACAAAAAATGTTAAAGGTACCTACACACAGAATCTAGAGATCTGAAACTGGCTTGGAAAATCCAAGTTTTGGAGAAGTTCTAAGTAAGAATTAGCAGCTTTTAATAGTGCTACAGAAGTGATTTAGAAATGGAAATTTAGATGACAAAAATCTTTAGGCAAAAGAATTTACCAACCAGACCATTGGGGTCACTAGAGCTACTGGATGTACATTTATTAGTTATTTTGGTATCTGGTAGAAGATCCTAGAATGAAATCCTGAAGAAAAAGGACTTGTGTTATGAAAGCTTATACCAAGAATTAGGAGACCTTCAGACCTGAAATTGGGACTCTCAGGTTTGGGCAATCTAATCTCCTTGGGCTATCTCGATTGGAAGACCGAAAACCAAAGTATAGAATACAAGCATGAGTATTGCGGTTATAAACCTTACAAGGGGTAAGAAGTAAGTAATAGGTGGACTAATTAAAAAGAATGTGATTGAGATACTGATTGTATTATAGCAGCACCCCAAAAGATGGCATGAGATATAAACACAATAGCAGCAGACAATATATACTAATTGGGATGAATATTACTAAACACACATACACTATGTGTAAGACACAATATGCAGTATCAGGTTTACTTCAAAAATAAGCTAAAAGGAGTTCTAAAGTAGGTGCTAAAAGTTAGAAATATCATAAAATCTATATATGAAATAGTGAGTTATACCCGGGTTAAATATAAGGGCTTTGGGTTATAATCAGAAAGTTTAAATAGATAACTTCCTAGTTGGGTTGCAGGTATAGCTAGAGTTCCTATGTTTAGTTCAGTTCAGGTTCAGGTTTAATGAACCTGAACCTGAACCTGAATATGAACCACAAATTTTGCAGATCATTGAACTTGAACCTGAACTGAACTTTGAATTTATGAACCTGAACTGAACCTGAACTTAAAGTTTTGGTTCAGTTCAGGTTCAGTTCAAAGTTCATGAACATGTTCAGGTTCAGTAATAGTTCAGTAATAAAATATAGAAAAATTTTTTTTATTGTCTTTAGAATTTTCAAATTTGGAATTTTTTAAAGAAATCTTTTTTCTTTACTAAGTAAACCTATTTTCAACTTCTAAAAAAAGTTGTAGAGAAGTGTCTTGTGATCATAATAGCAGTTAAAACATTAAAATCAGCCCAGTAAATCACGAGATATAAGTATTTTAGTTCTCGTGACTATATATTTTCTTTTTTATATAAATAAAGAAGAAACAAATAGCCATTAAGACAAAAATACTTATATCTCGTGATTTACTAGACCGACTTTAATTATTTAACTGCCATTTTGATTGCAAGACACTCTTCTACAACTTTAATTAGAAGTTAAAGAGAGGTTTATTTGGTAAAAATTTAAGATCAATAATATTTTTCACAATTTTATTAATAAAATTATAAAAAATCATATAATTCTCAAAATTTTACTAATTAATTATATCTTTATGTTCTAAGTAAACTTGTTATATATATAAAACTACACTATATTAGCATATATTTGCATTATAATTTTAACTTTTAAGAAAAATATTGGTAATTTTAAAAATTTTAATCAAAAATTCAAAATTAAGCATATATTTCTTAAATTTTATAAATATAATATTAATTTATATAAATATTATGTATTTCTATATGTAGAACAAGTTTACTTAGAGCATAAATATAGAATTAATTAATAACATTTTGAGAATAATATAATTTTTTATAATTTTATTAATAAAATTATGAAAAACATTATGATTCTCAAAATGTTATTAATTAATTCTATATTTATGCTCTAAGTAAATTTGTTCTGCACATAAAAATATATAATATTTGTATATATTAATATTATATTTATAAAATTTAAGAAATATATGCTTAATTTTAAATTTTTGATCAAAATTTTCAAAATTAACAATATTTTTCTTAAAATTTAAAATTATAATACAAACATATGCCAATATAGTGTAGTTTTATATGTATAACAAGTTTATTTAGAATATTAAGATATAATTAATTAGCAAAATTTTGAGAATTATATAATTTTTTATAATTTTATTAATAAAATTGTGAAAAATGTTATTGATTTTAAATTTTTATTAAGTAA